AGAAACCAAAGGAGGACAACTACTGAATTACCACGTAGCTCTAATACTATGCTTTCATTTTAATTTCACATGGGCAGCGTTTTATCAGGCTCAGCTTATAACCTTTGAACTGAGCTGCAGGAGGAGGAAGTCTGTGTACCACGTGGGAAACATTAACCAGACCCCATTTTCACTGGCACGGTAATAACTATTTATTTGCCATCCTAGGTGTGCTGGGAACGAGCCTACATGAGACTTTTATGAGATATATTCGCATTTGGTGTTGGAATGACCACAGAGCAACGTGTTGTTTTTTTTAAATCCTAACACTCTGTGTAAACATTGGCATCTTATTAAAAATTAAATATTTGAACTCTATTTTAAAAAATGAAATAAGCACAGAGTCCTCAACAAGCATGTTGTAAATAGAAGAGATACTGATTTCACAGTATGTTTCTACCCCGCAGAACCTCTGAAAACTGGTCCTGGTGACTTTGCTCAAGTATTCAGGAAAGTTGAAGACCCATCCTTAAGACTGTCACACAGAATATGATGTTGACTTGGTTGACGTCAAATCCTTTGTTCTTGACTGGCTGGGTGACGACCAAATAAAAATTAAGACTGGGACTATAAATTTCCAAGGATGGGGTAGGACCATTGTCCCCAGGCCATCTGTGTGTCTGCCCTGTGCGAGGCTGCTGCGGAGCACGGCTTGGGCAGTTGTCTAACATTCATTCATTTTTAAAATCCTTTCATTCAACAAAATTTTCTATTACTTTGGGAACCACAAGCATTTGAATTATGTCTTTCCCCACCATTTTTTTTGAAAACTTTCAACTTTACAGAACATTTGAAAACAAAAAAAAAAGTACAAAGAATGCCCACATGGTCTTGACCTAGAAGAGGTGCTATTTAATATGGGCAGTGAGAGGAGGTCCCTCTGATTAGGGGAGGGAACCTGCTATGGGGACAGCTGGGGGAAGGACATCCTCAGCAGAGGCAAGTGAAACTGTGCTCAGGTGGAAAGGGGCCTTGGCTGCGGGGATTGGAGCAGGAGTGGGAGTATCTGATGTTGGTTTTGTTTTCCTGTTGGGCGGAGAGTAGACACAGCAGATGCTTCAGGGGCTTGAAGGGCCAGGTAAGGACCTGGAATTCAGAGGAGTGACATGATGTGAACTGTGTTCTCCACAAATCATTCCGGCTGTTGGATAGCAAGCCGGGGAGCCAGGAGTCTGGTTAGGAGACTACTGCAAATAGGTGAGTGATGGCGAGAGCTTGCCCAGCAGAAGTTCTTGAATCCTGTGTATATTTCGAAGGCAGAGCCAACAGATTTGCTGGGGGACTGGACATAAATGATACAACCAAGTTGCCATTTACTGAGATGGGCTAGACTAGGCAAGGAGCTCCAGTTTAGAAATGCTACACGAGAGATGTCTGTGGGACATTCGAGTCCAGAGTTCAGGGGAATCGTTGCAGTTGGAGATGTAAATCAAGCCATTGGCATATGAATGTCATTTAAAGCCATGCCTGGAAACTTCTGTGGTCTGATGATATCCTAAGAGCAAACAGAACTGACATTCTAACAGAATTTGAATATTGAGTTTTCAGCTAGTCGCACCAACTTCTGATGCTGATAGGACCACACTTGAATTCCAGCTCCATCAAGTCCTGGCTGTGTGACTTTGTCAAAGGGATTGAAACTCTCTGGTCCTGGGTTTCCCCATCTCTGTAGAGTGAGCTACTGCTCTTGACTCAACAGTAAGGCTGTGACAATTAAACAAGATTATCACTGTCAACTATGTGGCATAAAATATGACCATGCAAATGGTAGATGTTATCTCCCATTAGGAAGCCCTCTCAGTAGCTTTAGTTGGAAATCACTTTAATTAATTTTATGTTGTTAAAGGACATATAACACTTTAGTTTAATTCTAAAATCCCCAAAAGTAAACACAGACTGGGCAATCTAATCGCCTTTCTTTTCCAACTCCTGCAGTCATTGTTCCAAAAAATAAAGCAAATAAACAAACAAAACTCAGATCTCTTAAGAAATGTCAAAAAACTTCTGACTCCAAATTAATGGGAAATTATAGAAAAGAAACCACTTGGTAAAAAATTCCATTTCTCTGTGGCTTTATATGGGCTTGGAAAGCAGAAAAGCATCAATACGCACGGATGCTGAACTATTTATTGATCAATCTGAACTATGGAGGGAGTTCATGAAACACAAGGATGTATGTAACTCGCTTGTTTTCAGACAACGTAAAACCCAGACACAGAAAAATCTCTATGGCATGGTGTTAATGTACAAATAAGTCTGTTGGTACAATTCACGAAAGAACAGCCCATTGTGGCCCTTAGATATTTCCCTTTAACATGATGTAGTTAAAAGCTAGAGGGGGAGAATGAACCAAAAGGATTTGTCTCAAAGGTGACAACTCATCAGTTTTAATTCTGGGGGCTTAGCTAGAGCTAACCAGAATGGCCTGGCAAATAAATGTCGGCGTCACGCATGGGCTTCCTGGGCTTTCAAGGGTTGAGACAGGACAGAAACTTCCATCTTCACCCTGGACAGCACGCTCCATCTGACACGGGGTGCCTGGTGCCTGTTGTCACGGCTCTTCCCCAGTTCATCGGTACTTAATTGGTTATCAAGAAGCCACCATATGTGAAGGCAGATAGGGAGCATCTATTTTTGGCAGTTCCTCAACATTGCATTTCATTAAAGAAATGGTTTTTTCTTTCCAAATGAACCATAAGCAAAGAGCACCTTGTGGGGATTTCCAATCCCCTTTAGTCAGGGTTTGGCTCACAGAACGAAGGGAGCAATTTACATGGGATTGCAGCATTTGTTCTGGAACACATATTTCAAAGATTGCACGGCCGTCCTCAATCCAAACAGATTCTGTCAGAGAAATTGAAAACACACCCATAAATTCTCATCCCACAGGCTGCCTGACAGGTTGGGGCCAGAGGCTGCTCGCTGGCAGCAGATTGTCCCTCCCTTGTGCCAGGCTCCGGGTTCACTTCACACACGCACACGCACTCTCTCAGGGCGGCCACCCCTTTCCAGCTGATAGAAACCCAAGCGGAAATTGGAGCCAGCTCCCTTTGGCTGACCAGGTTTCCTCTTCTGATATTTCTTAAACTTCAGCCTGTTCTCAGACATTTTCAGGCATCGGTGCTGGGTGGTTTACACGATTGTTTTGGGGAAAAAATACACATACACAAAAGCAAAGTGCTTTTCCCTATCCTCTTAGCAACAATCAACACAGAAGACAGAGTTCTGTGACCAGATGTGGGGGGATTTCTCCCCACTAGCAAGCAAGCCAGCAATTCTGCAGCGGACACCAGCTGCGTGTCCTCTAATTCAATTCCCACACTGCCTATCTGGAGACAGTGTCAGATCCCACAGGGTGAAGGCTCAGTCCCCAAGACTGCCCCCCCTCTGATGCCAATCACAAGCTACAGGTTGTTTCACCTGAGCTTCTGACTGGCTATAAATTGGGGTTCCCACACCCCCCTCCTTGGGTTCGATTAATTTGCTAAGCAGCTTACAGAACAAAGGGAAACACATTGTACCCATTTATTACAAAGGATGTTACGAAGGATACAGATGACGAGATGCACAGGGCAAGGTGTGGGAGAAGGGGCACAGAGCTTCCATGCCCTCCCCAGGCTCGCCACCCTCCAGGAACCTGCACGTGGTCAGCTGTGCCGAAGCTCTCCAAACCCAAGCCTCTTGGGTTGTGACGAAGGCTTCATTACACGGGCATGATTGGTTGCATCATTAGCTACTGGCAATCAACTCAACCTTCAGTCCCACTCCTCTCAGGAGATTGGGGGTGGGACTGAAAGTCCCAACCCTCTGATCCTGCCTTGGTCTTTCTGGTGACCAGCCCCCATCCTGAAGCTGCTTAGGGGCTGCCAGCCACCAGCCAACTCGTTAGCATACAAAAAGACGGCGCTTTGGAGATTCTAAGAATTTTAGGAGTTCTGTGCCAGGAGACGGGAATGAAGATCAAATATATATTTTCACAATATCACAATGACCAACAAGGGGCTTTCTCCAGGGAGTTGCCCAGCCGAGTTGCTCCATAGGGCAGGCGTGTCCAGTGGTTACTGAAGAGCTGGGGAGGAGGAGCGGGTCTGCATGCAGCGGAGCTGTGTTCCTGAGCGCCTCCATGACACAGCGTTTCCGCGGGGTGCTCCAGGTGCCAGAACAAAAGTGGATGCTGTGGTTAACTAAATTGGTGGCTGGAGACAGGCTCCAGGATGTCTCTTTTTGAGTTTCTTTTCAGAATTTCTAGCTGAGTGACCTGGGAGAAGTGACTTAACTTTAATGGACTGCAACCGCATCATCTGTAAAACAGGGACATTTCCTTATGTCTGATCATCAGAGTGTGGTCCGGGGACTACCTGTGTCTGTATTACCTGAGCAAGTGCCAGGAACAAATGCAGGGTCCTGATCTCCTCCCAGGTTTGCTGAGTCAGCACCTGCATTTTAACATGGGCAGGTGATTTGTGTGCAGAATAAAGTTGGAGAAGTGCTGCCTCAGGTGACAGGGGTCTGAACAAGATGATCTCCTGAGTTTACTCCCAAGTTTAAGATCCAGCGTTCTCCAAGGTTCTCTCACTTCCAAAGGAAGAGGGGGTGATGGCTGTGGTAATCAGGCACTGGAGGAGCCCGTGTAGAAACAAGGTGGAGAGAAACTTGGCATGAGGTCTCTAAGTCCTGTGTCCC